TGTCATTTACCGAGCTGGATTCCCCACATAATATATACACTGTAGATATGAGTAACTGTTTTTCCATTACTCCAACCTGTTTCTGTCTGCATTGCTGAAAGTTTACTTTGAAAACCAATTCTAAATCAATAATATAATTTTTCCAAGACCAAAATGAGGAGGAAATGATAACCTCAATATTTTGCACTACTAATCTTATTCCTAAATCTAACAATACATACATCACAATTAAGTTTGACAGAGACAAATTGATCTGTTTATGGCACTGAAAGAGAAATGAGTGTAATTCATGTATTATCTAACACATCATTTTGCACTGATTACTGGGTTTTGAGCACTATTTACCTAGAAGCTAATGCTTGTTTATGTTTAACAATTAATAAATGCATCTTTTTATTGTTTAATTAGCAAAGACAATAGTAATTCTGTATTTAGGTTTGAAATATTTCACTATTTACTGTAGTCTAAACAATTTTCTTTTAAATCCAGTTTCACACATTAGAGTCCCTGATAACCAAACAGAGGGGTGTAAAGTACCCAGAAATTTTCTTCTGGTAAGATCAGCACTACCTCAATATTTTATTTAATCTAGTAAAAGTAAAATATGGTCACCTGAGAAGTTACTTAAAGGAATAGTACACCCAAAACATGATTAGCCTTCATTTTCTACTAACCCCCATGCTGAACAACACTCTGGAGTACTTTTTTGATATCTCAAATGCATCTGGAGATCTGGGAGGCTTCTTGCTGTCTGCTGACATTCAAATAATGGAGGTGCCCAGCGCCCGAGGCAGAAAGGTCCATAAAAGTCCACAAAAAACGTTTCAATATTCCTCCATACTGCTCGTCCAATGTATTCCAAGTTTCCTGAGTGGGTAGCATCCAGAATTTACTCGAAACGAAGTCATTTAGAATGTTTTTAGAGCATAAACAGTAGTGTATAGGATTTCCTGAAAGCGCGTTCATGACGCTACGGAAACCGCGGCAGATCAAACCAGATGAAAGTGCGCATTCAGCTCGGCAAAGAACTCATGCTCTTCCTCAACACTGAAGTCCTCAGACATTTTTCTTTCGTTGTTTCTTTCTTTGCACAGGTAAACAGCACATTTCTTCTTCTACGCTTGCATTATTGGCAGAGCAGACGCTGAATGCGCACTTTCATCTGGTTTGGTCTGCCGGCTTCCGTAGCGTCGTGAACGCGCAGGCGCGCGCTTTCAGGAAATACTATACACTACTGTTTATGCTCTAAAAACATTCTAAATGACTTCGTTTCGAGTAAATTCTGGATGCTACCCACTCAGGACACTTGGAATGCATTGGACGAGCAGTATGGAGGAATATTGACACGTTTTTTGTGGATTTTTATGGACCTTTCTGTCTCGGGCAGCATAGACCTCCATTATTTGAATGTCAGCAGACAGCAAGAAGCCTCCCAGATCTCCAGATGCATTTGAGATATCAAACAAGTACTCCAGGGTGTTGTTCAGCATGGGGGTGAGTAGAAAATGAAGGCTAATCATGTTTTGGGTGAACTATTCCTTCAAGAGTAAAAGAAAGTATTTTTTAAAAATGTTACAAATAATTATATAAAACATTTAAGTAAAATAAAATATTTTCCAAATTTAAACATCCTTACAGCTGACACTGAATATGTGTGGGAGCAGGGCAAAAACAATCCACTACAGAACATTTACCTGATGTCCAAATAGCTCAAGTTACTGGTGGTGGGAATAGTAGCCATAAATTTTACTGGAGTAAGACTGGTGATACCCCACAAGAGTATTAGTAAAAGTAAAAGTAAAGTAAAAGGTAGAAGTAAGGTATGGTAAAACTACTCCTAAAAGGAAATTATTTTCAAAATGTCATTCAAGTAAATATATATATATATAGTAACTGTAACAAAAATAGAAAATACTTGAAATAAACTTGCAGAAATGTCTCTGTGTAGCCAAATATCCTGTGAAACCTTGAAACATGCCTTTAAGAAACAAACCTCAAGCTGTTACTACCATAGCAACAATCTAGTTTCTCTTCTCAACAAGCCTTAGATATGCCTGCTTCATTTTTTATAGATCAGATTAATTTTAAATTGTGTAAGTCTGCTTCATGTATAGATAACTCACTCTTTGTAGTAGTGTTGGTATTTCCTTTATGGCGCAATCTATGTCATTTTCTATTTCTTTTTTGGATTCATATTTTGTTTTTATAAGTGTGAACAAGTATTCTTTCATTTGACTTCGTGTTTTGCCACTGGCACACCTGAATTTCCCCTCAACTATGCATATTTGAATATTTCCATATCCATATAACATCAGGACAATTGAGATTAAAATTCTTCTTCTGCACCTGATGGGTATGTTTATACTGGAATTATAAATGTAATTTACTTTGTAAAGGACTTTCTATGTAAATAATTTGCTTTGTAAATGACACACAAATGTGGATAAAATCGGATGAGGGGAAAATGTATCAAACAGCAAGCGCAGCACAGTGTGGCTTTTTTGTTTACAGACTGAGGATTCTGTAGATCAGTGAATAAATTGCAAACAGGAATAATCGAGATTATTAAAAAAATCTGAAAATCAATTTTTACAAAAAAGTATTTTAAACATTGAACCATTTCTCTGGAGTATATGTGGTTTTTAGATAGAAATAGAACTTTATTGATCTCACAATGGAGAAATTAACCCTCTACATTCAACCCATCCCCTTGGGGAGCAGCGGGCTGCCATTTTGTGGCGCCCTGGAAGCAATGTGGGGTTAAGGGTTAAGAACTGGGTACTTGCAACCTTCTCAGAGCACAAGCATACTGCTCTAACCACCAGGCCAACACTCCCTAGTGGTGGGATTATACAAACAAAAAGACAAAAATTCACTGAGTTTATATGCAACACAGAAAAATTACCAAAAAACTGCTAAACTTACTACCTTTGTCAATTACTACAGATGGGGAAACAGGTGCAGGATGATGAAAAAGGTAAAAGTTAATTTTACATAGTGTGTGAGGTTTAAAACTTAAAGTAAACATATGAGACAAAAGAACTATTTAAAGATGGCTGCAGGTATTTGTGCTCTTGTTTGAGTTTGAAGATAAGAAGTCCTACAGTATTTGTTTTATCCTCATGGCGCAAGTCTAATTTCCAGCAGTACAGTATCAGTGATTTAGCTGATCGGATTACATGCTTTATTATGAGTGTGGCAGCCAAAGAGACAGGGAAGTGGAGAGATGAAAAATAACACACACATGAGAAATAGAACACATACTAAAACTGAAGGGAGTGAGGGGCCAAATGATGAGAACACTGTAGGGGAAGTCTTGAGACAAAGCAATAGAAAAAATGGAAAGCAAGAGCATGAAGAGGAGAAGAAAGAAAGGAGATCTAAACAGAATACAGAGTAGCTGCAGGGTAAAAGACAAAAAGCATGCAGGGGAAGGCATAGGGGCAATTTCTTAAATCTATATTGATCCATTATGCTTTACCTGACATCTCTCTCATTCTTCACACTTAGATAAAATGCACTCTCTCTCTCACCTTTCACTCTGTCTTAAGTTCCATTTTTCACAAGTGGCCCCACAGGCCTTTGGTAAATGGATATGTTAAAGCGTTGCACAAACACGAGATTTATTTATAGACAGTGTCTATCTTGAATGATAGAAAAATATGATGCCAGAAAAGACTTTTTCCTTAGGTTTGTCCAGTTTAGATAAGCTCCAGATGATGTCGCTGGAATGACTAAAACCTCAGTTGCATTCAAATACAACCTATTTGTTGCACCCTCTGAATTGAAATTACGCTTTTGTGAATGACCGTTTCAGGTCAGCTAGCATTTTCTCCATCTTCTAAATTTCTGAAAAAATATGAGAATTTTTTTTTTCAGTCATAAATCTACCAGGTTTTCTTAGTAGTAATAACACTGCAATAACTTGTACTATTTATCTAATAATAGAATAGAATAGAATAGAAAATCCCTCTATTGCCCCACAAAGGGGAAAGGTGGTTACAGCAGCAAAAAGATTATAGAAAAAAATGGTCACACAAATGTGGACCTTGGAAAAATGTACAAGAATAAAATAATAGTGAAGACTTAAACGATAAATTTTAAAATACTGCACTGTAAAGTATGTTAACAATATAAAACTGTGCACCTGGAGAATAAATAACCAAAACACGGTACAGCTATGGACTGTTTTTACAGTAATGGATATTTGAAAATAGCAACAACAACCTTTTCCTCCTATGTGCACCTTCTGTTTGCTTATAAAAAGAAATGTCACAAGTGAATTTCTCCATTTTGAGATCAACAAAATTCTGTTCTGTTGAATTCTGTTCTGGTATTTGGGAGAATTGTATTTAAACTGTATAACTGGTGTAAAATATTTCAAACATTCTCCCAATGCAGCTTTTCCCATTCACTTTGCTGTTTGAGATATTCATTCAGTATACTCATAAAATGTTTCTTTACTCCAGATGCCATCTATTTTGTAAAGTGCATCGGTCCCTCCTGCTGGAAAACATCCTCAAATGATACCAGCAGTCCTGGAATTAGAATGCTATTTACAGGGTTGCAACTTTCCGCTTTTCACCTGTAAATATAACAGTAGATGGTATTGTTTTACGAGAGTCTTACTACTAGATGTGTGAAGGTTTAAAATTCTCTTTCTATTTCTCATCTAAAATTTTTATATCCAATAAGGAAGCATGGTTTTTAAGGTGAGGACTTAAATTAAATTCCCTTGTGTTAGTTAACTCAGATGTTATACATTCATCACAACTATGGATAGCTTGACTTTGAATTCTGAAAATAGTGGTTTGTCCTGCAAGACAAGTTGTTTTTAATACATCAAAGATAAGATTGTCTCCTTAGAGGAATGTGAAAGATGGATTTTTTAAAGATACTTTACATGATATACCGTAGTTATATATAGAAATGTATTAATGTCTTAGATGAATACATTAATTTCCTTTTCAGCATTGAATGAATCATTTAGAAATTCTTACCTGTGGGGAACCATCAGATCCGTGTTCCCTGGTCTTTCTTGCTAGTCTTTTCTTCTTCTTATGAAGTGGCTTGGACTCCAGGATCATTTCTTCCAGCTCAAAGGTAGGGTCACAATTTAGTCTCCGCCTCTTTGGAAAGGAAAAGGAATGCAATTAGACTTTAAAGGAGATGGATAAATATTATTTCTATTTTCGAAATATTGAAAGTATGAGAGTGAAAAAAAGTCAGACTGTAATTCCACTTCTTCCTATTTAACATTTCCTTTATGCAATTTTGCCATCAGGGATCAAATATCAAAGGGGATAAAAAATAAAAATAAACTCAGAGCAGGGAGTGCCTTTAAATTCTCTGAAGAAGTAGACATTGGCCAATCAGCACAGACTTCAAACTGATTCATTATATAATACTATTATAGTAAAGTATTATAGAGTAGTATTCATTCCCTTTTAGCAAAATTGAATGACATGATTTTTGGAAAATAAAACTCATAAGATGTTAAGAAAAGAGCTGATATAATTATCTTTCAATACAATTACAGCTTGAGGTCTTTAGCTGTTTGTTTCTGTCTTTTTCTAAAATCCAAAAGTACTGTCTTGCCAGGTTTTTCTTTCAAAAACAGCTTAAAGTATAACAGATTGCATCTTAATCTGATTTAGTTCTGTATTCTTAATGGGTTTTTTCTGGAACATTTGTATGTTGTTATCCAAACTATTTAATTATAAGCTTATGTAAAGGGCCAGAGTTGTGCTAGAGGGCAACCCTTTACTTCCATGTTTTAAAGAATCTAATAGGTTATCTTTAAGGGTAAACTTACAGTAAGCAACCATCATCCCAATAGACTCTGACCAACTTATCTGTATCCTCTGAAGAAGCATCACATTGCACAACACTGCCACCATCATTTTTATCATGCTAATGATGTGTTTAGGGTGAAGCCCAGCTATAATTATTTACATGTTGCTTAAAAGTTTAACTTTGCTCTCTACTGATCAGAGCAACATGTTCAATATTTGCTTAATTTAATGTAACACCGAGATTCACCAGCTCCCATCAGGGGTGACTACCACACACAGACTTGGTTAAGATTGTTTGCCCACTAGACAACAGAGGGACTTTTACCTAAGATAAAATATTATGGTTTGATCTAAATCTATGCAATAAATAAGCAGGTTTTAAATATAGTCTAGTATACATGTAAATTCGAAATAAGAAAGAAAATAACCATTGACATTAGGGTGGGCCCACTAGCTGGCCCAGTGGGACAAATCTGAAATCTGATTGGTTTAAGAAAATGTTCCTCACTAGTATTGTAAAGGTTACATCAGCCAGCACTGCTGATTCTGAGGGCCCTGGGCAGATTTGATTGACATAGCAACACAATAACGCTGAAACATGACTGGACAAAAATTCTAGCAACCACATAAATGTAATGGAAGCAGCACAGCCAAGACAAATGCTGCAAAATTAAGAGACTGGATTTTTTGGAATAAACTAATAACGGTTGGAAAGAAAATTAAAGTTTAGGTTGTGAATGTAGGTTAGTGTTTCTGGTTGATTTTAGTCCAGCAATTAAGTTCTTAAACACTCACAGCCCACCACTGCATAAAAGAAAGTTTTACAGTTGAGCCACTTACAGCTGGTATCATATCTGATTTATCTGGGTTAGGGACCACAGGGGTCTGATTTGGTGACCAGCGGATTCCGTCCCTGTTTTTGTAGATGACGGGCTTTGACTTGCTGTCTCCTGCCCACAACTACAGCAAGCACTAGGGCCATTCTTAGCCATACAAGGATCAGGTCCTGTGTGTCCGAGGCAATGGTTCTTTCAGGTTGGAGGAGAGTTTGGCCTCAAGTGGAAGAGTTTAGGTATCTTAGGGTTCTGTTCACGATGGGAGGGGAGAATGAAGCAGCAGATCAATACTGTAGGTGGATCAGCACAGCTGTCACTATATACTATGACACTGCACTGGTGTGTGGTGGTGGAGAGGGCTGAGCCAAAATGCAAACCTCTCGATTTACCGGCCAGTCGATGGTCAGAAGATATATACAGCACTGTAAAGGGAGTCTTTGTTTTAGTGATCTAATTTGTTTTTGGATCCTTACATTAGGAATAAAGCCTGGAGCAAGCTGTTTGCTGAGGACTGCATCCCAGTTGACGTCTGACATGTAGTCCAGATCTTGGAGCTCTGCAAAACAGGATACGCGCTTCTGGACATCCATGCATAGCAACTGAAGAAGAGAAGAAGATAACAGTCAGAAAAACAGTGTCTAAGTTAGTTTCACTAAAACACAGACATGAGCACATGTTTAGCACCAAGGGTGAGTTCAGGGATTTTGCACAGAGAGTTAAACAGGGGGGCAAAGACACAGACATATATTTAGATGGACGGAGTGAGAGATAAACATTAAGACAGGGAGGAGAAGAGGGAGATTAGAAAACAATGAAATGCATTCATGTAGCAAATGATAGTGCAGCGAATTCAGTGGCCTGAGAAGTTTAAAAGATGAAGGACAAGATCTATCGCCAGTGGAATTTTCCTTTTTATTCTCACCCCCCCAACTCAACTACTGTTTTCATCTCTCTTGCTCTCCCACCCCCCGCCGCCTATACACTCACTCACACACATGCAACAGGAATGCCAATGAACTCAGAGGAGTCTGAGCACGAAGCAATGCAACAGTTTGACTGCGGTAAATTGCTGGCAAGGGAAATGTTTAAACAACAGGGCCTGTTAGTTTTTCAAACACACTTAAAAAACAAACATTTAAGAGACTACGGACATCTGCAGTTGTTGTAATGCTAAGCTGGTAAATTGAGACATGTTTTGTCACAGACAAGAAAGATCCACCTTACAGACTTGAGCCTCTTTGTGCAATACTATGCCCTCTAATATACTTCTGCAAGAACATTATAATTGTAAGGCCTCACTGCAAACAAGAAAGGCTAACAACATTAGCAGTGAACCCCTAAAAGGACCCTGTGGCTACTGCAGAAACTTATCAGACCTTAGAGAAATACATCACCAGTGACTCATTAGAATAAAGTGAAAAATTAAAGCTTTAGAAGCTAGCATCACAGTGCATCCAGGGACCTTCTTTTGAGTGACATGCAGTCATTTCATTGCACTCTGTATAGTGAAAATTACATCTGAAATTATTCTAATATCAAATATTAAAAGAATAACATTAGTGTTATCTGATCGTAATAACCTCTGCTACACATTATGTACCTTTCTGAGGAGGGACTTCATTTCCACAGACCAGGCTGCTGGGTATGTGGGGTGGACCTTGTGGAACATTTGAAGAATCTCATTAGATGGTGTGTTGGATCTCATCACATATGGTCTCTGGACCAGAAACAGAAAGGAGAGAAGAAGAGATGATAAAACATCTATCCTGATCCATTCACTTGCCTTGGACCAGTGGCGGCTGGTGAAAAATATTTTTGGTGGGGCTGATATAGCCTAGTGTATGTCTCCAACTAATCCGGAATAAGAATTCAAATAAACATTTGGACAATACATACAATTTAACAGTAATGATTTAATTTACTATATAATAACAGTAACAGGAATGATTTGGGTCACTGTGACGGGGTTCTTTGGCCTCCAAGAATCCAGGCTCAGTCGGGTTACCGGTGTTGGTGATTTATTGTGCTCAAAAACTCAAAACAGGGTGCAAAAGAAACTAAACATGTACAAGATACTCTGGGCCTCAGCCTCCCTCCAGTTACCAGCAATGTAACAAAGAAACAGAAAACAAAAATTGCCGCTTTTCTTCCCACAGCCCTCATTAAATAGTTTAAGCCCCTACAGGCTCTCTTATTTCTGATTTCTTCTCATAAATCATTTTTGTCCATATATTACCTCCACAAACAATTGATGTACAAAAACAAATAATTTTTACAACTTAATTCTTTTACACAGATTCATTGACTTATTCAATTACACCAAACTGGGTTTGAACCCAGCAAAGACGCAGCCAGACTGAAGATGACAAGTCCCCGTAGCATAAACACGTACACACACACACACACACACACACACACACACACACCCCCCCCCCCCACACACACACACACACACACACGGCTAACCCCACTGAAATATTAAGTGTGCACCCTCAATACGCCAGCAGGTAACCAGGACAGCTTGTGTGTTTTAAGTTCATGGAGCTACTGGTCTCAGCGCGAGTGTATTGGTCCTCACAAACACAGTATAACAGGAATGTGTGTGTGGCGCGCAAAGTTAGAGAGGTTGTTTTAAGCGACGAGGTGGATTCCTCACAGTCACAATAACCATGACATGAAATGTTCATATCCTACAACAGGGATGTTCTTCTGGCAAACGGGTAGATAAATAAGGATCTCACCGAATTTGGTGGAAGCTGCATCTCGGTCGTTACATTCGCCATCTTCCCTCTAACTGTCTGCACCTGCGCTTGGGTTCAGAAGCCTGTTAAAGCGCAGTATTTTCAGAGCCCCAAGACCATAAAGTTCCGAGACGCTGATTGGCCATTAAATTCACCTAGCAATAGTACATGATTGACAGATTCTCTGCAAATGTGGGGCTGTCTGATCACAGCCCCCAGAACAGAGACGGTAGGAGTCTGTCTGTGGAAATCCACAAATGAATGACAGTAGATAGGGAAATGTAGTTTATATAATTTGTTTTGCTTATAGGTACACACTCTAGAGAGTAAAACTGACATTTATGAGTTAATTTCTAAAAATATATTTTACGTTTCTCTCTTCTTATCAGGGAGGGCGGTGCCCCAGCGCCCCCTATGGGCCGGCCGCCACTGCCTTGGACATTATTATTATTAATATTCCGCACATTTCTTTTACATTTTTCATCTCAACAGTCCCCTTCGTCATACTTTTTAGTCTCATTTTATGCTCCTATAATGACAAACTAGCAGTGAGGACAGGGGAGAATAAAGCATTGCTAAAATAAACAGAATCTTATCAGAGTAACTCATAATGGAGAAGTGAAAAAGACTGCAAAAAGATTGCATTTGTTTAATCGTACATTGTTTTGATAAAAAAAAACAAAAAAAAACATGATGTTTAAAAGACCCATTTTCAATTAGCAGTAACTGGATGGATGGCATCCCTTACGTGCCTGTTCTTATTATTGTGTTAACTCACACTGAAGTTTAAATAGTTTACTGAAATGTAATGGAGGTTGGAAGAAATAAAACAGACTGACAGGAATTGACTTGGTCCTCTGCAGAGGTAAGCATTGTGCAGCTAATGGTCAGATAAAGGAGAAATGAAGTGAGGCGTTAATGTGCTGAGAGGTGGCAGGGCAGCTTAGGTAAGACAGTAAAAGGAAAGATGTGAGAGGATTTACAGCCATGTGAAAACAGCTACCCTCCTCCACTTTGAAGAACGCTGTCCTACGTCTCCAGAATCTCAGTGCTCAAATGTTTTTTTAACATACCAGGAAATTTATATATATATATATATATATATATATATATATATATATATATATATATATATATATATATATATATATATATAATGTAAAAGTTAGAATGATCCTGCTCTGCTCTTTATACACTGATGGCATCTGCTTTTTCAGGTGCAAAAATGTTAACTAGTGGTTTGTGGAATTCTCCTTCATATACCAAGTTTCTGCCCCGTCATGAGCAGTTTTAGCAAAATCATCGGCAGAAACTTCATCAGTTTATTAGCTGTGTTGGGATGCAGAAAAAGAGGTTTCTTTATATTGAACTTTACATACTAAAATCTAAACTTCATCCCAACAATGCAGTATTAAAACAAATTGATGTAAGTATTGATAAGGCTTGTTAGCATCAAATCCACAGACCCATGCATCCTTATATTTACATACAGTTCTATGACTAACAGGGAAAAAAATATAATGGGAAATCTTTTGCACTTTAAATTTTCAGGAAATCAGAATTAAACCCCACAAGACCATCATAAAATCTACAGAAATCTGAAGACTTCTGGAATCAAAGGGCACTGCACAAACTCATCTCCCATCAATAACAGAATACTTAAACATCTTTACAAAATATTATAAAATTATTTTATATGATTAATCTCAGAGCTGCACAGTGGACAGTGGGTAGCATTGCTGCCATGCAGCAAGAAGGTTCTGGGTTCGAGTCCCAGCCCAGAGTCATGTTCGCCCTGTGCATGTGTGGGTTCTCTCTGGGTACCCCGGCTTCCTCCCACAGTCCAAAAAAATGACTGTTAGGTTAATTTTCCTTAGGTGTGAGTATGTGCCCTGTGTCCATCTGCCATGGACTAGCGTCCTGTCCAGGGTGTACCCCGCCTCTCACCCAGTGACTGCTAACTGCCCCCCTTACAACCAAAATAGAGATAAGTATGACAGAAAATGGATGGATGGATGATTCATCTTAGTCAAACTAACCAGATTACTGATGTTTTTTCACCTTTTTTGACTGCGGATATGTGAGAGTACTGTGTATTGTGTGCTTGTTACCTGTCCCCTCAGTAGTTCATAGGCTGTAATCCCCAGTGACCACCAGTCCACAGAGAAGGAATACCCGGGGTGGGATCCTTCGAAGCTCTGAAAAAGCTCTGGAGCTAAACAGAATAAAAATAGATAATACAGTCAAGACAAGATAACATACTAGGTTCTTTATTATAGGAAAATTTACAAATATATATTGAGATACTTTAGTCATGATATGGTACAGCCATTGTACTTAACACTTTTTAATGTTTTTTATTTGACTGTTGAAGGGTTATAGAACATTTTAAACCATCTTTCACAATAATGCTTCATACATGTTTTGCATCAGTTGTAATCTGTACTAGATCAGACATTATGATGTGGCAGACTTAAAATACATCTGGAGACTTTGGATACTGGGTCATTCCTAGTCACTCTGTTCTGTAAGAAAAATTATGAATCTAATCTGTTTTGGCAGCAGTCTGAATCAAAGCTGCGAGGCTCATATAGCATCTGATTGCTTATGTATTAAATATGTCCCGTAGCAGACAGTGCAGTCAGGCAGAACTTATTCTTTTTACAAATAGAAGACAATTATATATTTTTGGGTGAATTGTAATCGTTTTGTTTCTTAAAGTTCAATCAGAAAAACGAATTAATGTATCAAAGGTAAAATACATTTAATAATACATTTTACTATGCTTATGTTTGCTTATATATTTTTTTTAAAACTTTGACTTTGACTGAGTCATTCCAATGCTTCAAGTGATTTAAAGTCCAACATTGCCCTGTGTTTAGTTTTATCCATTTTCCATTAACTCTTAGCAGCTTTCCTCTGTCTGCTCATGAGAGCATCTCGGCAGCATGAAACTACCACCACCATACTTCATCATGGGGATGGTGGGTGGGTGATGTGATGGTGGGTGGTTTTTGAATAAAAATACTTCAACTTCATTCATTTTGAAAGGATTGTTCAGGTTCTGTCAAGAAATGTTCTTTATCCTTTTGGAATGATTTCTCAACTCAAATTTAACCCTTTTAAAAAAAAATTTCACTGTGACACTCTGGGATTTAAATGAAAGAGGTTTATTCAGTTAAAGATTCTTATACACAACTTTATCAACAGTGTTATCATGCTTTATATTGAGCTTTGAATTCTAATATTTAGTATGTAAAGTGCAATATAAAGCATAATATATAAAGCTACCTAATATAAAAAAAAGAAAATCTGTTGACCATTTTATTCCAATTTAACTGGTTACACATGATTTAATTTCAGGCACCATCACCAACATAGAATTCAAACATTCAACACAAAAAAAAAAAAAAAAAACTGCTTGTGTGGAGTAAAAATACTCACATGGTAAAAAAACAGAAAAGTAAACATGCTAGTTTATCATTGTGTATTCCCCAGAAATCCGTTTAACTCCAATAAATGTCACAAAAGCTGTTTCCACATCAAAGCGCTGTCTGTTGCATTTAGAGTGACACAGCGAAGATAGATGCGTCTGTGCTTCAAACACACGCAGTTTAATTTTCTAGAGAGTAATTTAAAGAAGTTATTAGCTTTTCAAAACAAAAGATGTTAAGTAGGCCTAATACCATTTAAACCATTTTAGTTTTTTTATTTTCAAGAGTCGGTAAAAATACAAAAGATTTAACCTATTGAACTCTGAATGGATAACCAGCACTTGCAGCTGCATTTCAGAGTGAGTCAGTTTTAAATGTGATGGATAAATACTTAACTCCTCTCAGGCATTAAATCTGATTTTGTACTGCTTGCAATCTAGTTGCCAGGTCTGCAAATGCTAATATTAACCAAACCAAACTTTGAACTTCCCAGTTTAGAAAAAAAAAATTCCCTTAGTTAATACTAAACTATTTTGTTTGGCTAAACATATATAGTAGAAATTGACTAATAACAAGTTCTTGTTTGGTTTTATAAAAATGTAGCTACTCAAGTCTATATATGCTATATCTCAGTTTTGGTAGACTTAAGTGAGAATTTAAACCGACATGACTGAAGTGAAACAAGGACTCAAATGAAAGTCTTCTTAGTTAATAGTTCTTGACTGAACAACCAAAATGTACTGAAAAAAAAGAACAATTCTTGAGCTAATAAGGAGTTTTTTCACACAAGATCAACTTGGTTTGGATACCTAATTTTTTAAATGTATTACTAGCTTTGTTTACACACACAAAAGTTCCCAATCGGATTGAAAAGTGTTCGGATTCAAAAAAGCAAAAGATAATTGGATTTTACCAGTTTTATTAACATAAATATTCCGAATAAAATGGTCGATCAGATCAAAAATGTCTCCTGTAAAATGCCAGTCAGAATATTCTTATATCATCAAGCCAGATCATCTAGCCGCTCACTAAATGGAAATATGATCCTGATGCGGTGTGCAGGTCAGCTTGCCTCATTCAGAATAATGTGATCCTGAAAAACGCTTGCATGCATGCTGATCAGATTGTCAAACAGCATTAACCATCCATCTCAGTTGGATTGCAAATTGTATTCCCCTCCTGCCGTATCCCATCAGAATACTCCAACTGTACGGAAGCCTCGCTTCTGTCAATGAGCCCCAAGGCAGCTATGGTTACAACTTAGCTTACCGGTACCACCATCAGAGTTTGAGTATGTGCGTAAATGACTGAATGCAGTGTGAAGCACTTTGGTCAAGTCTCCTGACTTAAAAAAAGTGCTATATAAGGACAGGCCATTTACCATTTGATTAGCTTAATAGGGAATTAACTTTGAAGATTTGGTAAAAATCTTAAATTTTCACTGTTGTAAGCTGCTCATTCACTGTGTGTGTATACAAGATCACAGAAAAGTTTGTCTAAGTCTAAATCTTCTTACCCATGTATGGCTTGGTTCCAGCGATTGATGTTGCCTTAAGATCTTCTTTCACAATAGCCGCAATGTTGAAGTCTGTTAGATGGACGTGTCCTGCAGATGAAATTAGTCATGTTATATATTTTAAGGTTTGGTAGAATATCGGTGTAACTTTTGGCAGCTTGATCTTAAAGTTTTAGTGTTTTAATAAGAGAAGCAGACATTTTCTGGGCAACCTGGCCGAAGGAAAATTAATGAGCTGTTACTGATTATTCCAATACTGCGACGGAGGAAGCTGAGCACTGTAGGTGGTTTTCAAAGTTATAGCACTGACCTGTGTCTAAGCATGCTGAGAGTTGGCCCAGAGTCTTTGCTATGCTCACTGACCACACACTAATGAGCTGGATGTGGGATATTTGACTGCATGCACTACATATTTCTCTGTCATGGTCAGCCAGGGAGCAGCTGTGGATTTAGAGCAGTTTGATGGCTCAGATGAGTTTCCCTCCTAACCCTATGCACAGAAAAACTGTCATGCAAGTAAGCAAAAATTATGGCTTGTAAAAATACTTCACTGTTAGAAACATTTAGGTAAAGTGGTTTTCTATTTTCCCCTTTTCTCACTTTAAAGTCTTCATTTTGGTGGACTAGATGTTTTTTGGGTAAACAATGAAAGCAATACCGATATACCTTATAAAAACAGCATAAAATCCCTCCAATAACAGGCTGCCTTTTTTAATAAGCTGACTTTATATAACTTTGTACACTATAGACTTGTTTAACAAACATTGTGCTGTACATGTTTTCAATAGATCCAATTAAATACACAAATACACTGATATAACGCAGGCAACGTGTTACAGTGTTAAATAGATGTATCTAATTTTTGATTGATTTAAGCAGGTCTATCCATGAGACAGCTGATTAGCTGTTTACATGGAGCAAAACTCAATAAACCCAAATACAGTAATGTCAAAAACTCAGGAAACTCTTTGAATCTGTTTGTGTTTTTTAAAAGAAGATTGTTGTAGCTTATCAATCTGATATGCTGCTCTAAAAATATGAAATCCACTTTTCAAATGTATGAAAAAGGTCTATTATTTCAAGCACGTCTATGCAGAAAGAAGACCACCACATTCTTAATAATGACCTGGAAAACTCCAGAATGTCATCATGTGACAGGGGGGAGGTGGCCTAGTGGTTAGAGTATTTTGCTTGGATCCCAGAGGTTCTGAGTTCAAGCCCCACTCCTACAGACTGCCACTCTTGGTCCATGAGCAAAGACCTTTAACCCTACACGGCTCTCCAGGTCCCACACAATGGCAGCCCACTTCTCCAGAAAGGGATTGGTTAAATGCAGAGTGAATTTTCATTTATTTGTGACTTTGGCACCATTGGAGTGAAAGTGTATGCCTGTAAAATCAAAAAGATACTGCTCATGTTTAACCTTTACTGGATGTCTGTATGGGAAGAAAACTTTGTTTTTTTTTATTAAAAAAAGAAAGCCAGATGGAAGTAGACAAATACACAAAAATCTGGAATGATGTTCGTTAAAGAAAATAAAAAAAATCAATTACTTGAAAAGCCAGTTCAGAAAATATTAGAAAAACATCATCCATCTAAGAAACAGAGACCATTTCTGCATTATGAAATATTTCTATCAGAGTGTGTTAGAGGAAAGTATGAGATTAGAATACTTACAACTGAACTCAACTCAGCTGCATAGTTATACAATGAACCTGAGAAGGTATTAGTATATTTATCAGGGAATAAAGGAAAACTTGGAAATGGAAAGTTTGAATTCAAGTCAAAACGCTGCTAAGAGATTTATGCACTTGTTACACAAGTCTCATAGGAATACAAAGTATTAATAAGTCCATACTTTATTTGCAATGTTGAATATAGCAAATCCCTTCATGCTGAATGCTGGAGTGGCTAACCTTGCATGGCAGCTAAATCATTTAGGCTTTTATTATTTCACTAAACAATTAATTAACCCCTCAGGGTCCATTATGAAATGCAAATGTGTAGCAGATGTTATATTTGGTAAAATTCTTATCATGCATTTTAAAGGACAAATGATATATTTAACATGTACGCGGATATGGTAAACCTACTTTAATGTGAGGAAGTAATAAAAAAAACAGTGTAACAACATCAGAAAATAAGGTATTTCCAGTTCTTTTTTTTTTATTGTCATTACACCGTCACAAGTACAGAGCATCGATATTAACTCTCTGCATTTAACCCATCCCCTTCGGGAGCAGTGGGCCGCCATTGTGCGGCACCTGGGGCACAGTTTGTGGTTAAGGGTCTTTTGCTCAGGCATCCAGAGTGGTAGCCTATGGGAGTGGGGACTGAACTCAGATCCTCAGGATTCCAAGATCTATACGCTAACCCAGAGGCTACCACTGCATTTATTTTTTTCTCCATGTTAACTATATAAAATTATAGTAAAGAAATGATTTTATTAGATATACAAAATAAAAATAAAACAATAATACAAAAAGATTAGGCAGAAGATTTTCCAATCTATGTTACACACAGTAACTAAAATGAAATGCTGCGGCTCAAGGACTTATTCATCCTCATTCAGCCTATTATTTAAACATATTTTTCCCATTCTGCTCTCCTGCATCTGTTCAAACTTTTTCTTGTGTTCTATATGACAAGGTCATCACAGTGAAAACTGAATTACCTAAAACTTCTAAGGTTCAAGATATCATACATTGGAGTTAATGGAGCAAGCAAACCAAAGAACACTTCTTCAAGTCTGTCTGGGGTTAGAGAAACAACCTGGTGTTACTTCACAACATTCACGTCACAGACTGTGTCTGTTTTTAGTAGGAAAACGTACACATGAGCTTTCAGTCACTATCCTAGACGACAGCGCTCCAGGTCCTACTCTCTGCCTCCCTGGGCTATGTTGCTGAACAAACACCATCACTTGGGCATGTTTAAATTGTTTTTCCCCAATACGTAGCAACTCCCCGAGGAATAAAAGGATCACAGCTCAATTTGTGCTTTCAAATGTGTGAAAGCACATAGCTAACTTTCCTTACTAAAGGGTCTGTTGTTTTTCCGTAAGGATAATTTTTATTTTTGTAGAAGACTATAGAGAGTTTGCAAGAACATACAGAGAAAAAGACAGAAAGATTGCAGGTACTGTGAGTATTTGTTGTCTCATTAAATCCTGGTTGCTTCCCACTAATCTACTCATATATTTGTCTTTTCCCTTTTTCTTTGACTAATCCTTTAAGAAATGTTTGGCCATTATTTTTATTTTTCTTGTTGAGTGACTCATCCCATTTGAGTGGCTATCTCTCTCTCAGCTCTTATTGGTTTCTTCTTAGTTTGCCTCCTGTCTATTCTGACAGCAGGACCTTTATCCTGTGTATGCCCTCGGCTCCCTGAGCAGATGTCCAGTGGCCTGTGAGATCTCAGGACTTCTGTACATGTGCTCATATGTCACATTGCTATAGTTTCTGGCAATCTTTTCAGAATTTCAGCTTTGAAATCCTAATACAGTTTGGATTGTTTAAAAATCAATCACCTTACCAATAACTGTAAGCAGAATGGGAAAGATGTTTCAGAATGACATTCTTACCAAGGTCATGTTTCTGATAGCCAAAATTTTCTGATAGAAAAATGTTACAAACATCATATTTGCTTTTTGTCTTTATATGATGCAATGTCTAATAATGTACTGAAAGAGAATGTGACCCAAATGATTTGGTTTGGCTTCATCAAACAGGACATAAAGATCGAAGCTTTAAGCCAGGTAAAGGTCTTTCTTTTAGAAATATGGAAGATACAACAGATTGTTTTCAAATGTAAAACACTACCAACACATGCTGGCCATCCTTTATTGTTGCTGGCTGGCTCTGGGTAGCATATTCTGAATACTCCCTCTATACATAGTTATAAGAAAAAAAAATTCTTTAAAACTAATGGGCTAAACCATTTCCTTAAAAATGTAGATTTTTTTCAATTTTCTTCTGATAATCAACAAAAAGAAATAAGACTTATACTAAAATACTTCTCCAGCATAACATGCGTATATAGATTCCTGTAAGACAGAGCATATCATGATCTTGGTGCTGATGTCTGGTCTCATTACTTATTTCGCTGTCCTGCTTATCTTTGCCCAGTTCTAATTACTGCTCATCTTATCCGCCTGCTTCATTCTCTATTTAACCAGCATTCAGACTAGTCATCAGTGCCAGATTTTTTCGAGCCAGTGATTAGAAGTTTTCAAGTATTCCTGTGTTTCTGATTGTTCTGACCCCTTCTGCTGCTTGACCTCTGAGCCTGCCTGTCCCTGTTCTGATATGTTTGCCTGACCTGTCTTCAGACTCCTGCTGGATCACTGCCTGTCTGTGGACCCAATCTGGAGCAGTTTCCCGACTCCGTTCTGGATTCCCTCTCAGCATCTCTTGGTATCTCTGATCTCCAGGCTCTGACTATCAGCACGTGATGCTTTAAATTAAGAAAAGAACCCAGATGTTATAAAAGGGGTCTATAGACTTTTAAGCCACTTCACCTGTTTCTGCGTGTCTGCAAACCTGAGCCAGCATCACATCGGTCTATTTTTCTTTAATGATGGATGTAGGTCAGTTGCTTTAACGGGTGGTTGACCTCTACTGTTCAAGCTACAAATTAAAAAGTGTAACTGCTATGACTTGCTCCTTTTTCCATTAGAAACTTCAGTCAAAAAATGCTGATGAAGGTTCTCAGTCATCCAGGTCATAGTCATTCCTTTAAAGTTTAAAAAACAATCCACTGGACTTGGTTTCCAAAATTTGAAGATGTTTCGCTACCTCTCCAGGAAGCTTTCTCAATTCAAATGTCTGGATCCGCAGTGAGTTTGAGTCTTATATGGACAAGGCCTTGTATTGCTTGGAAACATGCAAATGGAAACCGATGAGTGGGTTGTTTGGTTCCAGTGGATTGTTTTTTAAACTTTTACGGAATTCAGTAAAAAAAGTAATAGCTTCGATTATTCATACTGAGGTATTTACACCACTGAGATAAACATCTAAAATGTGATTGTATTATTCAAACTTAAGGAATAGAGGCATCTTATTTTATCTCACATGCTTTAGTTCACAGTACATATTTATATGCAAATCTGCATAGTTCACCTTATCTGAAAATGTTTGTGCTGAGGCTTCTTACAGCAAATCATTACTTGGACTTCCTTATATTCCCTGTTCATTAGCATATTGATGAAAGATTTTATAGTCTATATAATAATACCTGCTTTGATTTACTATTGCCCCCTCCCACTAGTCTTACACAAACACACACAGACTTCTCTTCCAGCACCCCTTTTGGTCATGCATTTGTTGCATTGTGGGGACAGTATAAGGTCAAATTCCCAGGAATATGCTACATTGTATGAACTTGTGTGTACTTGTGGGGACCAGTTGATTGCTAACTATGAGGAAAAGTTATCTTCATGGGTTGGGGTTTAGGTTTAGGTCTAAGCTGTAAACTGAGTTTAGGTTAACTATATGTAGTAATAGTTTTTTGGATAAGGACCTTTTAGGCCATTGAAATGAACAGGAAATGGTTGAAAGTAAGTTCCCATATCGGGACATACTGTAGCAAGTGTGTGTTTGTGTGTAGGGGTGTGCCTGTCCCTGTGAGACAAGGTCCAGAACTAAAACCTAAGTGATTCTGAGCAGACATGACATGAAAAATACAATTTTGAGTTATACTTTTCTCATAAACCAATTCATCCTCATTTCATGTCAGGATTCAGAAAGGAAGTAAAAAATCAATACAAATGACATCCTGCTCCCTCCATGCTCTGGAGGAAGAATACAGCTCTAACTTGAATGAATTGCTGCCGCTGGTAACATAAAATAGAAGTAAGTTTATCCAACTTATTTTTATTTTTATTTTATGGTTTAACTTGAAATTATTAACTTAATTTCTATTATCAGTTAAAGCAATTCATTGGAAGTTGGAGCTGAATGCATCTCAGACTGACAGAAGAACAGTAGGAATTATCTGTATGCATTCTCTGTGTGATATTTCCAATAAATTACAATATAAGACTATGAAGGCTGTTCTTGAATTACAGTTACAGTACTTTGGTTTCTCTTAAAAAAAAAAAAAACATTTCAGGGGTTATTTCTTAAGATAATATAAAAATGGATCTTACCGTGCTCATCCAGTAGTATGTTGTCAGGTTTGATGTCTCTGAAATTGAAAACAGAATGCTGTAAGATTATTATCCACTGGTGTTAAAATGGCTTTATTTATATAGAGTATTAAAGTTTGATACAGTCAGCATATTTTAGATTGAACTACAAAAGCAACTCTTGACTGAATGGCTTAATCTTAAAACAAAATAAGCAGACTGTTTTTAAGTTAATGTCTTGTGAGAGAGATGGAGAGTTTGATGAACGGATGGTAGATGTGGTCTTGAGATGTACGGTACAGGTGTGCTTGTGTATTAAAAGGAGATTTAGCAGAACGTCGTTGTTTTGGTTGATGGAGAACTCATTAAGCATTTATAGAATATGTTGCACCTCTTTTCTCAATAGTTTTCTAATCAAATTATTACTTTTTTTTATTACAGGTGCTGGTCATAAAATTAGAATATCATGAAAAAGTAGATTGATTTCAGTAATTCCATTTAAAAAGTGAAACTTGTATATTATATTCATACATTACATACAAACTCATATATTTCAGATGTTTATTTTGTTTAATTTTGATGATTACAAATGACAACAAATGAAAATCTCAAATTCATCATATCAGAGAATTAGAATATTACTGAAGACCAATAAAAACAAAGGATTTATAGAAATGTTGGCCAACTGAAAAGTATGAACATGAAAAGTATGAGCATGTACAGCACTCAGTATTTAGTTGGGCCTCCTTTGGCCTGTATTACTGCAGCAATGCGGCGTGGCATGGAGTCGATCCGTCTGTGGCACTGCTCAGGTGTTATGATAGCCCAGGTTGCTCTAATAGTGGCTTTTAGCTCTTCTGAATTGTTGGGTCTGGTGTATTGCATCTTCTTCTTCACAATACCCCATAGATTTTCTATGGGGTTAAGGTCAGGAGAGTTTGCTGGCCAATTAAGAACAGGGATACCATGGTCCTTCAACCAGGTACTGGTAGCTTTGGCACTGTGTGCAGGTGCCAAGTCCTGTTGGAAAATGAAATCTGCATCTCCAAAAAGTTGGTCAGCTGCAGGAAGCATGAAGTGCTCTAAAACTTCCTGGTATGTGGCTGCGTTGACCCTGGACCTCAGAAAACACAATGGACCAACACCAGCAGATGACATGGCACCCCAAACCATCACTGACTGTGGAAACTTTACACTGGACTTCAAGCAACGTGGATGAAGTGCCTCTCTTCTTTTCCTCCAGACTCTGGGACCTTGATTTCCAAAGGAAATGCAAAATTTACTTTCATCAGAGAACATGACTTTGGACCACTCACCAGCAGTCCAGTCCTGTTTCTCTTTAGCCCAGGCAAGACGCTTCTGACGCTGTCTGTGGTTCAAGAGTGGCTTGACACAAGGAATGCGACAGCAGAAACCCATGTCTTTCATACGTCTGTGTGTGGTGGTTCTTGAAGCACTCACTCCAGCTGCAGTCCACTCTTTGTGAATCTCCCCCACATTTTTGAAGGGGTTTTGTTTCACAATCCTCTCCAGGGTGCGGTTATCTCTCTTGCTTGTACACTTTTTTCAACCACATCTTTTCCTTCCCTTCGCCTCTCTATTAATGTGCTTGGACACTGAGCTCTGTGAACAGCCAGCCTCTTTAGCGATGACCTTTTGTGTCTTGCCCTCCTTGTGCAAGGTGTCGATGGTCGTCTTTTGGACAACTGTCAAGTCAGCAGTCTTCTCCATGATTGTGTAGCCTATAGAACTAGACTGAAAGACCATTTAAAGGCTTTTGCAGGTGGTTTGAGTTAATTAGCTGATTAGAGTGTGGCACCAGGGGCCATCAATTTTGAACCTTTTCACAATATTCTAATTTTCTGATATGATGAATTTGAGATTTTCATTTGTTGTCATTTGTAATCATCAAAATTAAACAAAATAAACATCTGAAATATATGAGTTTGTATGTAATGTATGAATATAATATACAAGTTTCACTTTTTAAATGGAATTACTGAAATCAATCTACTTTTTCATGATATTCTAATTTTATGACCAGCACCTGTATTTAATTTTTACCTTTGTAACAGTGCAACCATGGTGTTTACACCCCTTATAATGTATTCCCCACCGTTTGGCTTTTTACTGGTACTATAATTATGCTGCCCAGCTCAGACCTTGAACCGCAAACCTTTAAAGTTTTTCTTCTTTGTCTTCCACGCCACCTGCATGTTCATTCACAGAGGTGTGGCAATTCGTTCCCTTATATGGAATAATCGGGGTGGTGATAAATCAGATTTACATTTCTCCGGAATGTGCGCTCACTTATGCACAGGTGGACTGTATGGATTATATGAGAAAAAATTTACGATAATTTACTGAAGTAAAAGCCCATGGTAGGAGAAAAAGTTGGAGAAATGTATGACCAGAATACAAAAATGTTGTTGCATGAGGCTAGTGATATTATAAGATCAACCGAGGCTTTGAGGTGTTAGTCAAGTAGTGGAGGGTGCGTTTCCGTGAAATGCGTATTGAGACTTGTTTCATTTAGGGGAGGGGCAAAAATCGATGACGTCCAAAGCCTCACTACATACCACGTGACTGCTTCAGGAAGATTGTTCTCTTCTAAGACATTTTACGCACAAAAACCTTACAAAAGATTTTATTATACACATTAATCAATTTCAAAGGAATTGAAATGGGGAAAAAAAAACAAGAAAAACAATTGCAAAACAATCACAGATTATATTGCCAAATATGGTCATGCACTTGACCAGTAGGTTGTGACATGTTCACATGAAGCTTCATGAACTGTGGGGATGGTTAAAGCAATTTGCCCAAACAGGTCAATGCCTAATGAGGCTTCCTCTCACCATCACTACGATGCGGTCCAATGACTGAAATAATGAGCTAACTGGGAGCAGGTGCGTGGAGAAGGGACTAGAAGGGACCTGGGGGGAAATGGAGAGTGGCAGTAGGGGGCAACGGAGACCAACAGAGAATTAACTTGGGACTGAAAAGTAACTAAGATAAACTAAGAAACACCAATAAGGAAATTAACCCACGATGAGACAATAAATAAAATAGGATGACCAAAAGAAAATTATAGGGTGGGGCAAAGGACAGGGGATAACAATAACACCAAGGTAAAACATGATCTAAAGATGACTGCAAACAAAGAATGACAAAAAAAACTACAGCTAATATATCAATTACAAAAATGCTAAATAAAAAGATAACTGGAAAAACATCAAGAAAGAATAAAACTAAGAAATAATTCCAGACAAGATCATTCTTACCAATAAAACAACATAAACAAAAATAAAGTCTAGCACAGTAGACCATGAGAAGACCGTTATCAAAAATGAGTCACATCTCATTCAAAAAAAGGTTTTTCTATGGAGTACAATTTGTATTCTGATTTAAATTAAGCCTTTTTTTATTTTTTATTAACTGTTGTGGTTCATAAGTTTTTGAATTTAACTGTATTAATATAAGCTACCCAAACATTGACCCAAAGTCACACTTGGTGGAACCTGTTACAGTAAATTCAGAGAGCAGTTGACGGGAATAAATACATTTTCAACTAATTCAAAGGAGAGACCCAGGATGAGTTCTCCCACTGTGACAAAGCCACCAACAGCTCTACCTGGATCCCAGCTGGTAAAGCAGTTGGTGGATGAATACTGTCCTTACAGGCTTCATTTAAATTCAAACCTAGAATTTTCTTTCCTTTTTATCTTAACTTTTATTTATCTCCTCACTTGCAGAGATAAATAAATAGACTTGCTGTCTCACACAGCAACACTGTGAGAGTGATAAAGTGAGACTGCATGTTGTGATTTAATTGTCTCTGTAAAGTGCCTTGAGATGACATGTTATGACCTGGTAAATAAACTGAATTGGATTGATTCAGTCTTTGAGTGTCTCTTCTTCCTTTTATCATGTGTTTTTCATACGATACTTCATTTCATTTTTTCCTCTTTTTTCCACCCCATTGCAGCTTGCTCAAAACAGGAACAAAATTTGTAACCAAGCAGATAGAGTACGTACTCCATGTACACCTAAATACTGTAGACTGATGAATTTGGATCAGAAGCCTCCTCCCCATCAGCGTGTTTATTGCTATGCTTGTGTGGCAACATGCTAAAACTAAAGAACTAAAGTACAGTGTGTTCTCTGCTTCACAGTATATAAAATAAATTGTCCCATGATAATCAATATTCAAAGCTATTCAAAAACTCTAAGAATTTTTATTTTAGCATGTCGAAGGCAACAGGAAAAAAAGAAGAAAAATGGACCTTTATGTATCTTTATGTTTCTCTGGCACAGTCTTTTAGACAAGGACGACCTGTAGCCGAGCTCTAGGGTGCTATGGCATATTTACTAAAATGGGCCCAAGCAGAGTTGAGAAAGGTTGACCATGTAACCCTTAATTAGCTGATATTTGCCTCAAAAGGTGAAAGTAAAGAAGATAAAGGAGGGGTGAAGCTGTCACTAAAAAAAGCAAGCTGCTCAGGAAAACGAAAGGCCATATTGTCATTGTGAGACCAAAGGGTCACAAGGGGCCAAGACAGTAAAAGTCAAAGCGGACATAGTATGTGTACATTTAAAAGACATGATTGTTTGTTTGGATTTAATCAAACACCAATTTCTGCCCACACATTTTCTCATTTACAGTTTCCCCTTCTGTTTATCATTATTTATTGGAGATGGTTTTGTATGTGTGAAGAAGTAGGGTTTCCCCAATTTTGTTAGGTTTAACAGAAAAGGAGTCTTTAATAATGAATAGGCAGCTTTTCTCCTGTTTCACTAAGTATTTTATAAAACTGTAAAATGGTACTTATATAGCACTTCTCCCAGTCAGGAGACTGACAAAAGCACTTTATACTATATTCATTAATTCACTCATTCACGCACACACTCACACAATGATGGGAGCAAACTACATTGTAGCCACAGCTGCCCTTTGGCTCACGGACAGAAGCTCGCACTGGCGCCACTGGAGATTCCAGCGCCACCTTTTCTTAGCAATTCTTGACGTCCACTGACTAAACCACATATGCACTGCAAT